CTTAGCTTCATACAGCTATTCTTATGAATACTTAGGTTGTTTTCCTTCTCAATTGTATTTAGGGAATGAAGGGTTTATAGAAACCTCCTAAATTTAAACTTAAAAATATATTAAAATTGGAACAAACTAATTTAACTGGAGATAAAAATCTACAGGGATAAACACTCCGAAGGACAGACTTTTCTCCAGCAGTAAGACTGTTCTTTATAATCCTGCAAAACTGAACTAAAGTTGATTCCCTAAGAAATAGTTTAGGGTTGGTATCTGCATAACTCCGTATCTAAACATGCCAAGAGCACTTATTACAGAGACTCTTGTTCTTCCTTCCTGTTACTACCAAAACAACCCCAGTGAGTGACTCTTAGAGAAGATACAATAAAAAAACCCATCAAACAGTAACAATTGATACTGGGGTGCCATCTGTCTTAAACTTGCATAAGCAAATGACTTTGAAACAGAGCCCTTTCCCAATGAGAAGGTGTCAAGGACAAGTCTTAAATATGAAACGGGACTTCCTTTGATGGTGGTTTTGTCTAAGCCTTAATTGCTAGAAGCTTGATAGTCACTTCATAGCTCTCCTGTTTCCATTTTCTTCTAGGAAGCCTAGGCAACTAGCAGTAGGGACAGGCTGGTGGAGTAAATGGGCACCTAGCTGACTCACCACTATCGTTGTTATTTAAACCACTTCAAGGAATTTATTTCAGCCTTTTAGACTGGGTTCTGCTCCAGCTGTTATCCAAGCAGGTCGCAATGTAATGCAATGAGACATGTGGATAAAGATTTCTTTCAGGTCTAGGTAACAGGACATTATTCCTGAAATTTTTGTACACACCTATAGTCCTTTTTACATTTATCTGTCCCAACCTATTTCATGAAGATGAGCAGGAAAAAAACATAAAAAAAGAAAAAAAAACAAAACCACTAGATTTACTCTCTTCTCCTGTGGGAATAATTCTGCTTTAAAGGGAAGAACTGGTCTTGGGAGACTTGGGCCCTAAATGTCTCAAACATAGCTTCTCAAAAACAATTTCTCTGCACTGTGTCCACAGGGGTCAGACAAGTCTGTTTCTCTAAGAGCTTAAGTCTGAAGAGGTGAGGTTGTTCTCACAGCTGCTATCAAAAGTGGCAACAAAGAGAAAACTGAAGGAAATGTCTCCATTAGGGTTCAAAGCATCCATCCAGTGAAACAAGCTCTTAAGAGAATCCTGCTGTATTTTGTCCAGCAACACCAATTCCCTGATTTGGATAGCTGTCTTTTTCCTACAGAAATAAAGTGATTCAACTCAAAGATTGGGACCTGCTCACAGACGTAGCCCTCACCCCCCTCAACCCAGGACCTAGCTTTGACAAACCTTTCACAAGTCTTCAACATAGCTGAGGTTTAGATAAATAATTCAAAATTAAGAATAACCAAGCTCAAACTTTGGAAGTGACTCCAAAAAAGAAAAGCTAAGATTCCTGATTACCCTTCTGGTTACTGCCAGGGAAGCAGCAAGAAACCCAGAAGGCTGGTTTTTGCTGGGTCATTAGCGACTGACAAATCTGGCCTTTCCACAAGCTACAACAGGCAAAAGTAGTCACTGTAACACATATCCATGATGGTCAATTACAAAACATTGCTGGGTTCACTGACTGAACTTTCAATAAACTCTGTAACTGCACATTGCGCTGAGAAAGACTTTGGCAAACGTTGGGTAGATCTATTTATAAACCTATATAAAAGGGGTCACGACGAAAGGGCAAAGAAATCTGAAGCAGCAGAGCATGGTCACTCTGGCATTATATAATACATAGATTTACTTCAGTTAGTGGTATGAACACAAGTACTTCAGTAGCTATCATTCTCTTTTTCTAATACTGTGTTTATAAAAAAATCTAAGTAACTGAGAAAAGTAAAAAAAAACCCAAACATTTTATATCCTAAATTTTAGACTAGACTAAACTTCATGGCAAAGTTTTAGTACATTAGGAAAAAAAATACCAAGAAGAGTGCTTTAGCTTTGGAAAGTATTTATTAACCAACATTACTTTAACGATGCAGCCACACTGAGTTGATGTAGTATTTCCCTCAGATAAATGCTATTTACATTATGCAGTTCCTTCCTCCGTTCATACACAATTAGAACTAATTACATTTGTGTAATGAAGCAATTCTTCTCCTTTTGGGCCAACATAGCTGCTGAATCAAACAAAGCACATCTTATAAAGCATAGGCACCATCATAATATGATAATAAAGTTTACCTGATTTGAAGATCCAAAATGATCTGCCTTTTGTCCACATTTTCAGTGTACACTTTTACACCATTTATCCGCAGAGGCTGAAACAATGAAGTAAGTAAAAGTTAGATCCTTCTACTGAACTATACCATATGAAACTCTTAACTTTGAAATAAAGATGAATATACGCACATTCATGCCTGAAGTTAAGAATTTACTAGAAGCATTACTAAAAGGTGTGAAGCAAAGCTATCAATTTAGCTTAAAACGTTATTTCAAGGGTAAAAATTACCTTGCTAGGATCCACTCAACGACAACCTTTCTGGCAGTTATCCTAGGTTTAGACCACTAGATTTCAAGATTTACAAAAGATTTCATATCAAGCTTTCCCTCTCCCCCCAATAAACATCTCATTTCTCTGTACAAGTATATGTCTAACACTCCCAGACAAAGCATTCTTTTCTGTGCAACTTAAACAAGCTAAATTTAATTCACCAAAATGTAGTTGCCTTCAGTGGAATTTAGTCGGAATGGATAGAAAATAATCCATAATCCCCACAAAAAGTTATGTCAACCATTCTGTCCTCTCTCTCAAAACCGCTGAGCTTGTGCTCTCCTTCTCTCTCATACAGAAACAACATAGGTCAATCAAACATTCCCAAGATTCAAACATTCATCAAATACTAGGTGGCAGAGGATGACCAAAGACCTTATTAGCACCACCTCCTATCATATTTTGAGTTTTTCCTTTCTGGAAAAATTGTCATATTTCTATTTACACCTTTTTAGTAATTTAAGTAAAATGGAAATCTCAGTGCTGTCAGATTCCCACTGTGTTTGGGGCTGTGTAGCTCACACGATGCAACTCAATCAAGGCTGCAACAAAAAGTAAATAAAGCTGATTCTCGTGTCCAAGATAACTCAGTCCAGCTGCAGAAGCACAGAGAGGTGTGGAAGCCCATTTAAACCCTACTTAAAATCAGTATGGCTTAAAAAGAACGCTATTCTACAGTCTGTAACAGAGGTGTATCTAGGGCAGGAAAGAACCCCTGTGTAAAAGGATTTGCAACTTTAAAAAAACCAAAACAAAACAAAAAAAACACCACACAAAAGGTGCAGTAAAGTATAATGAACTGTTATATACATGAAATAGTCACAAAGAGAGAAAAATAATTCCCCTCCATCTCACCTGAAACTTTAGTTCAGCTTTCCTAACATTTGGGATGGGGGGGAAAGATTTTAAATCCTTACTTAAAATCCCATTTATGACAAGTGAGAGGAACACAAAAGACAACTTCACAAAAAAGGTGTTAAGCTACATCTCAACAGAAGTAAAGTTCTGGTTGGTGCAGGTCAGAGTAAGCTGAACTCTGCAAGCAGAGATAACTTATTCTTAGCTTGGACTGGTCAAACAGGCTCTTGTGCAGGCATGTAAGAGCCGTAATATTATGACCCCTTCTCCTATGGGGCTGAACAGAAGGGGAACACCTATCTGCTCCTTGATACTATGTTATGTGCAGTCCTTTGGAAAGCTGAGCCAGCAGCCTTGTCATCAGATTCTGCACAGAACATGATTAAAAGTTTATCTGTTACAAGAACAGTAATTGCACTTGGATCATCTGGCAAGAAAAGGATAATAGTCCCTACTCACTTAATGTAAATGTATTAAAATCACGTTGCTATGAGCTCATCACATGACTGGGAGTTACTATATTTTGAGTCTTCTCCCAATTCTCAGGGAAATTTTTGAAGCAGAGATCCCAGGGGAAAAAAAAAAAAAGAAATTAAGCCTCTGCTAAAAAAGCCACACAGGTTTTTATTTTAAAGTTACAACAGAGAACAGAATCTGGCTTACCACTGTCACCAAGAAATATTTTTGTGTAGATTTAAACAGGCTACATAGAAACGGTAAGTAAGACAGAGCCTCTTAGAAAAATTTCACCAGACACTGACCTGATGACCAATATCAATCTTTGTAAAACTGAAGGTACTGAGGTGGTTGTTTGCTCCTCTTACTGCTGGTTCTATGGTCTCCCGGAAGAGTTTCTCGATAAATTGGCAAATAAAAGGCCACATCTGTTTTACAGTCTAAGGAAAAAAACAAAAAAAATTCTACAAGGAACACAACTTCACATGTAACTAAAAAATATTCTTTAAGGCATACATAAGAAATTTTGTACCAAGCTTTACACATACAAATTTTCTATACAGTTAATTACAGACATAAGAACTGGTTCCTTTTCACATACAGGAAAGGTTTCTGGAATTCTCAATTTATGTGGTTTATACATTTGCACAAATCTGGAGGAGGAGAAAACAATATTAAGAATTTTCTACTTTTATCCCACAAATGCATATGCAACCAGCACTGATGCTGAATGCTGGGGAGAAGGCTGAAGACGGTTAAGTTTATTTGCATGTAAAGAGAGGAATAAGAAAAAATGGGTCAAGTGCATTTCTTAAATACATGCATAAGTTTTATAAATGTAAAAATACAGTACTTTACTGTCATATCTGAAAATTCTGTATTGTTCTTTTCTCACCATTTTCTAATTAATTCTTTTGTACTCTTTGAATGAAAGATATTTTTAAAAAACCCAAGCTACGTAGATCTAGATCTTAGATTGTCACACATACAAATCAAAAATGCAAAAGTGATTTATTTTTAGATTGTAGGTCAGGAACTTAGAGTACTGGAAAGTATCCCAGACAACTAGAACATAAAAGACTGTGTTTACAGCTGCTATGGCTTCCACACAATTATAGCTGTCATTATTTTAATGCCACTTAAAGTCATTCTCCAAAATTCACAATTTCAAGACCACAAAAATAGATTTAATCTTGCTCCTGACTAACTGGATCAACGACCCGAAGCTTCAAGTGTATAAAGAGAACAGAAATTTAAAACTACTCTGCTCTCAGATGCTTGCCTCACTGTTTTTTTTAATCTCGGGTTTCCCTCCTCCCCCTTCCCATTTGGAAGTGCTGGTCATGTACCCTTACCTTGTTGAGCCATTCTGCCCTCTCTGTGTCTGGAAAATGGACCTAAAGGACCAAAAAAAAAAAAAAAAAACCACCACTAAGCAAAAAAATTAATACAACTACAAAACACTTTTTAGTTAATCATGCCCAGTCATTTATAATACAGGAAAGCTTGGGGGTCTCCTTATGAGCAATGTATAAAGCGAACAACACAGTAAGCAGTTAACATTCTCAACAAGAATATTAGAATTCAAGCAGAAAAAATAGGAATTCATTTCTGAACTACACAGATTCAAGTCCAAGCATATATTTAATAGTGGCATCTGGAATAAAGTATTGCTTTCACATCATGAACGAACTAAGAAAAAAAAAAACCAAACCACCATACACATAGCTGACACAGCCAGTGTCAACCAAACGTACCTCATATATTTTGGGGAGTTTTAACACAACACACATGACTGCCAGAGTCCTAACCGCACTTCTCCTTCCTTCCATTCACGCCAGATCTTTTGCAGTATCATAAACCCTGGCTAGAAATTGTTAATCAGTGAGGCTGAAGTTCAGGAGTATGGATTTAAGTTCCACCAAAAGCCATTCAAATGACATTTTTAGTGATTTCTTTTCCTAAACAACTGCAGAAATCAGTAAAAGACAGAAGGACGGTGATATGCACGTGATGGAAAGTACCCATCTCAACGGGAAACAGCAATTAAATGCTGGAAGAACAGACGCCGTTTTCCAGGCCCAGAGGAGAGCACAGTTAGTAGCTTTACATCTTGCACAAACACAGACAGAAAGAAAAGGGAAAAAAAAAAAAAAAAGATAAAAACCTGAAGCAGTTCAGCAGAAACAGAGTTAAGAAACACTTCTTTAGAAACTAAGAGCTTCTACAAGATGCAGATCACGCTTCTGAAACACAAAGAGCCTTTGAACACACTAAAAAACTGTGACCTACATATGCTGACTTTCATGAAGCAATGTCTCTACTTAAATGAATTGTGAAATCTTAATCTCTTCATAGCATAACAGATTGTACCACTGGTTTTAACAGCAGTGCCTACTGGTTATTTTTATTACGCATATATTCCAAATGTGAACAGTCAGTTAAATACATATTTTTTAAACTGTATTTTCAAAAAGTTGGATTTGAAACCAAGCCCCGTTAATGATTTGTCTGGTTGCCTTCAGAGCAGTCCTTAATTTCATCTAAGCATCCATGTTTTAGCTATGCTGGAGGATTGGCCCCTACAGCGTAATCAATACTGTCAGCTATTTCTCCACTCTGTTTCTCTCTCAATATTCCCAGGTCTATAACTAAGGCAAGCCATATATTTTTACAAATTCTTAAAGGATAACAAATTCTGCTGTCTTCCACCGTCAAAATAAAGGCTCTTGGCATCTTTTTCAAATTACTTTTTTCAAGTATATCACATATCTATCAAAACGATTACAAGTGGCACAAGAATGACCAATGATCTGCTTGACTATAGCAAAACATTCAATAAGATTTATTTTACTTAGTGAGTTCAAAAAATAGAATTATTAATAATGGATGGAGCAGTTTTGGAACCATATTATTATATTTTGTTTATTTAGAAGTAATTTCCTAGAAAATTATGGTGGTTAGAATGTCAGAAGTCTGTATTTAGAGGGTTGAATTGGGGTTTTTTGCTTTCTTAAAAATAAAAAATACTTTTTTTTTTCCACATTTGCAACAACACAAGCAGTTACTGTATGTTCATGAGTTCATAGCTGAACAGAGCTCACATTCAATTTTTGTCTTGCCAGGGTTCTCAAGTTGGTCAAAAAGGTAAAGGAACAAAAAGAACGAACACTATGTTAACCCTAAAGCTAATAAGTAACATTTTGATCTTTCTTCTAAAAAAACATGCCTGAATCTGCAGACAGAAAATGTGCCAATTCTCAATAATTACTTATCTCTTAAGCATGATGTTGGATCAACATGAATATTTCATTCTGATTTGCTTAGAAGAGCGATCAGTGATGTTCACAGGGTGGGAACTCAAGAACTGTTCCACACGGGAGAGAACATGAACAACAGCTGTTGGAGTGAACAGCAACAACATAAATTTAAAAGGAACAACAAATTAAACACAGAAATAAGGGAAAGAAAATTCATGGACATACCAAAGCAAAGCTGCCTGCTGCAAGCAATGCAAGACACAGAGTTACCGCGTTCACAATTCATTTTTGGTCTTTTGTACAAGTATCCAGTTGAAATCAACAGTAAAGCCACAATAGACCAAAAAAGACTTCTTGTCCTTTTTATATTTAATCTCAGGCCAGATGAAATTCATCTTCCCACACAGAGTGATCCAACTTCCCAGGTTTAGGGTATAAACTCCCCAAGGCATAGGCCATGTTCTCTGTGCTATGCAGACGGCTGACATTCAATACATCTGACTGGAATAAAACAGGTAGCATCTCTCTCTTGCACTCATCAAGCACCCTTCACATTCCGTACCAAATTATACAGAATCACTTGAGGTAGGCTGGAAAACAACCAAAAGGCCACATACCCTAATATCTAGCCACATATGCCAATTTATTAATTTTGAATTGTATCTACTGTACAGTCTTTAATAAGACCTTGCTTAACAAGACACAGTTCTTAATTTTTCCATTAATTTAATAATTACTTGTCCTTTAGTGTATCACACCTATCATGTTCCTACCGTTATTTGAGATAGTACTAGGTCAACCCCTTAATTGCATAAGCCTAGTTTACTTCTACAGTTGCACGTGTTAACAGACAACAAATAATACAATGAATTACAACTTTCATTACTGTTTCTCATCCCTTTTCCATCCTTGCTTTTCCAGTCACCCCACTTTTAACATAATATAGTTGTATCCAGTGTCTATTCTGACATGAAAATCAGACAGAATACAATCTTTCATCTTCAAGACTCTGAAATTTTTAATCCAGCCAACCTTGAATCAAAAGTTGAGCTTTGTTTAATCTTTACATGCCCCACCACCAGGTAAGCTGAAAACAAGGCATAAACATCTATCGATCTACTAATTCCATACGTTTTTAGCCGGCTATATGAGACTGTAATATTAATGGCAACATTATATTTTGCTTTAAGAGTTTTTGATATCAAACCCAATCTTATGCAAAGACAACTGGGGAAAAGCTGAGGGATGGAAGTTGGTACACTGGATTAGTCAGGGCTGACACAAGAGCATCGAGGCAACTGCACAAACATTTTATGGCCAGAAACAGAAGCAGGAATCAGACTACATGATGTGCAAAATCTGTCAATTCCTGTATAAAATCTATTAGACAAGCATGATAGAAGGAGATGGAAGTCCAGATTTCAGCAAAGACAGTCAAACACGAAAAGCATTTTCCACTTGGTTTCTGTTACTAAATTGCTCATGCAGGTTTGGTAAGTACTGTCTCACTTCAACCACTTGGCGTAGTTACTTATAATTGAAAGGAAAGTATAACTAGAGAGAACTGTTGCAAGAATTACCCTAACCACCATGTTCAACACCAAAAACATTACAAAATTACATGTTCCAGGAATGTTCTAATATTGAAAGTTATATTGCAAAATACTTGGGAAGGCTCAAAACGTGTTTCTGCACACTAAAAATACATGATTTAGCTTTCTCACACAACTGGCTGTGCTCAGCTCTAAACAACTCTCATATTTGCTTCCTATTTCTGATGTGCTCATATCCTCTCTTGTCAAAAACTCAATTCAGAACACATTATTTTTTTGTAAAGATCAATAAAAAACCAGAGAGAACCCAAGGAATGTAGTTCCTTGTTCTGCTCTGGAAGATAATAAAACAAAACAGGGACAAAAGGAAACCACTAACAAGCTCCTATTTCTGTAATAACAGCAGAAACGTTTCTTACCCACAATTATTTTACTATTCAAACTCTCTATAACCACTCCTCATATTGGCTAAATTAACTCAGTTTTCTGCCCAGATGATCCTCTGCATCTTTCTAAGGAAACAAGGCTAGACAAGGAACAATAATCATTAAACTCAAACCCCAGGGACTACGGATTGGTGGGAAATTTTGAAAAGTCCAACAGTAATCAGCAAATGATATCAAATGAGTTTCAAGGCACACATAATAATATTGCTGCCTTAAATCTAATTCTTCATTCACATAGGGGAGGTTTCACATATCTACATAAACAACACTAGAAGTAAGCACTGAAACATCCCTAAAAGTAAGCATTGACAAGAAAAATCAGAAAGAATGAAGTTACAACACCCTTCTAGAAGTACTGGTGACTGCTCTCAGCACAAGTAACAGGTATAAATAATCTACTGTACAATATAAATTGCACACTAGTCGCTATTATTTACTGATCCCCTCACTGTAAAACACGTTTCTTCTAAAAAAAATCCTCTTTGTAGCCTTCACCATCCTTACAGCCATTTATTAGTCAATCCTTATTATATTTAACTTCTATTTAATGATTATGATTAATCCAGTACCTAGGTCCTAAGTATTATTTACATGAACTGAAACAACAAAAAGGGCACCTACACTGAAAGTACAAAACTACTGCTATTGACCAGAGTATTCCATAAAGTGAAAACTTTTTTGGCTGCAATCCACTTTCTCATCAATTGTGCATTAAAGCAAAGAAAAGGAAGCAATTAAAGCAGTTTAGATTAAAAAAACAAAACAAAACAAAACAAAACAACAAACCATCAAACAAAAAAACCAACTCAATCCCCCCCCACACCGTATATTGGCTTTTTTTCCCTTCTATTCTCCCTACCCCCCAAGGCATAAAGGTAAGAATTCAATTTTAGACTACATTAAAAATAATGTGTTATAATGGCTATGTTTAACAGATACTTGTCCAAGTGAGCATTACTAAGCTGATGTCTAGTTTCTTCTATTTGCACTGTCTAATTACTTGTTGTTCCAGGTAAAAATCTTAAAGAAACTATACCAGTAACTTTTTCTTTCATTATTAAGGTCACATGATACAGCAAAGTTTCTTCATATAGTTACAAGTATTCTTAAACAGTTTTCATGCATCTCTCCCATTAGATATCGATCCCTTCTGCTTACTTTGGAAAGCTAAAATTACATACAAAAATCCTCCTCTCTACCAAAAGCACATTTGTCTAGCTTAAATATAAAAATATAAAAGGGTATCCAAATCAGCCTTCATAGTCATAGAATCATAGAATCGTTTAGGTTAGAAAAGATCTTTAAGATCATCAAGTCCAACCGTTAACCTAACCCTGCCATCCCACCACTAACCCATGTCCCTAAGCACCTCATCTGCCCAGATTTTAAATACCTCCAGGGATGGGGACTCGACCACTTCCCTGGGCAGCCCACTCCAGAGCCTGGAATGCACTCTTCATGCATCACCGGTGGAGCGGGAGAGCATCCCACAGAAGGAAATTCAGACCAGAAGTCCAATTCAGGTGCTCTAAAGCATCTTCTGAACACACAGCATAAGCAGTTATTTAACTACTAAGCCT